GTTTTCACAACCTTGCTATTAGCATAATCAACAAAATGGAACTTTCAATCCTTGCTTAGATTTGACTTCATATTTAATATGTGTCACAACTATTTGGAGTCAACTTGATGAATCTTCTATTTTCATTCACTCCAATTGAGAGTTGCAAGACATGCTAAATCAATTCTTGACAAATTATGTTGACCTTTTTCTAACCACGAAACCTAAGGTCTGCCCCTTCTACTTCATAATCCTCTTTACGCTATTTATCACTCATCTAGTGGGCGCATTTCCGAACCTTTGTTATAAATGTTCATATCGCCCAAATATATTTTTAATAATTCTTTTTATAATATATATTATTCTAATTGTTCATTTATAATAGAGAAAATAATCAAAATAGCCCCATGACTCTTTATGAATGATCAAAATAGTCCTCAACTACATTAAAGGATAATTTTGATCCCTCGAGTCTTTAAAAAGGAATCAAGATAGTCCCATGATAGATAGCAGAGTGGTATTAAAACTATACTAATGTATTTAACATCATCAATCTAATTGCAGTTTTGTATAATGTACCTTTTTAAATATCTATGACATCCACTTTATCACATCATACTCCTATAAAACTTTCCCAATTTAACTAGAGTGACGACTTTACAGGAAATCATTGGATTTCCTTGGGTTGGTATTTACCTTCCCAGTGATAGGTATATGATAAACCGACAATAACTATATATGCATGAAAATATAAGTGGATATGAATTGAAAACAAGATATGGCTTAAAGATCATTGTAAGGTACAAGAATACCTAATGTAGTGCATTTATAAACATTATATTAATTTAGCATCAATAGTTAATTCACATATATACATGCACATTAGAATATTTTGTAGAAAATATAGCATATCTCATAGCAATTTTTGATATATTGATTATAAATAACTACTCTCTTTTGTTTGTTCATACTGCATGTCCCACTCCTTTACAGTTTACACTTTGATAGATAGAGTTACTTTCTAAGTTTAATTTATCGAACTCACATGTTGTCTTTTTCGATAGATCCTGCAAGCATATTTGGTGGACCACCACCTCAGCAGCAAGGTTACCAGCAGCATACTATGTTTGGTATTTATTATTTTATAGTAGTTTATTATGTTTATGATTCTGAGGGTTGGGTAGTTTCTTTCTTGCTTTTTTTTCTATTTATATTCATGTTGACTTGTATCAGAACTACGGTCATTTGGATATATTGGTTATTTGAAATTCTATTAATGAATTCATTTTTATTTCACTACATTTGTTTACTATGTATATATATATATATATATATATATCATGTTATATCTCCGGTGTATGCATGCTTCTCTTTGTGAATACAAAACAAATCTTTCTATTCCTTCATCGCGTCTCATGTTGCCGGGGTGTACCGCCTTTCAGACCCAAGGGTGTCACATAAAATTCCTTTGATTTGAAACTATCAAGTTAGCTTATCTTTTAATCAATGATGTAAAAAAGGAAGATCATTAGAATAAACAAAAATATGGATGAGATTCACATTCCGGTATCCAACTAGACCTTTTGAGCTTTTTTCTAGAACCATTTGAATATTTTGTTTCTCATTCACTTCAATTTCGTGCTCCTTTTTCATACCATATTTTTATTTATAATTTCTCTTTCCCATTAATGAGATGTGTTCACAATACGATATAATAAAAAGAAAATAAATTTCCACTTAGTGGGCTAGCTTAGAAACTTTGCCTTTAATCATTAATCTTGTATGTCTAGAATGTGAAGTAAAACCATGCCCTCGTGCATATATGGCTGATGCATTTGTTCCAGCTCGAACCTACAATAAAAGAACCATCTATCATTAAACATATTTCAAAATATATAGCAAATGTGACACATTAACTAACAACAAGAATCCCTACGTCGTTCTTTCTAATCATATCATAAGAATAATAGCTAAGCAAATACATAAAAAGTTATAGACAAAATTACTTTAATGAGAGCACGAGATAGAACACATCATATCACATCTAAGAGCAGCGGAGCACTTCTGCACTCTCCTACCTAATTGAGTGAAAACTTGAAACTTTATATGATACGCTAATAAGAAAAGCAACAACCAAATGCAATACAATACTCCAGTTTTCTTTCTTTGCATGCTTTACTTAAAATGCTTACAGATTGGCAGAATGCATCACTACCACAATCAAAATGTACAAATCATCACAACTACTTCTTCATATTCTTTTCAGTAGTAAAGGACCAAGCACCAGCCTAGCTAATAGAAAATCATGTAAACGGCCTCAAGGTAAAACAAATCAAACTACTAAGATGATCCATTTCTCAAATTACCAAAGTCGTAATAATGTTCTCATGAAGGGTCCCAAGAAGGCCTATCAAAAAGAAACGCAAATTCTAGGAGAAAAAAAAATATCTGTCCACAGCGAATTTAGAAGTACTTTCTTCTGCTTATTAACACAATGTGAGAGGCGGTTCTTTAAGAGAATAAAAAGCCATTCTAAAATTCAATAAGCTAATTAAATAGCATAATTCCTGCATACTAAAACTTAGTATCAATGTGTAAGAAGTAATCCATGTTTCATTATTAGCATTCCAATTTTGTATGAAAATACTAATAAAACTTCACAATAATTAAGAAATATGAAACTTAATAGAGAAGAACTTAAAATTCAGCCTAAAAAAGGGACTAGAATAAGAGAAAAAAAAAAAGAAGCACCACTGGTTATATCAAAGTTAAATTTCAACAAAATGAACAGAACTACAAAAAAAACTAACAAAAAGAAATCTAACAGCATGGAAACCTAGCATAAAAAACTATTTAAAACTATTTTTTCTAACAAAAGGGTTCGAACACTTGAAGCTTTTGCTTAAAAGTAAATCTAAAACTTCACAGACGCTTTTGATTTATGTTTTAAATAACACTTAGGTGAAGCGAAGCACTTCTGAGTATTCAGCATCACTTCCAAAGTGAGTTTTAAGGGGATTTAACAAAACTGGTTTAAGGTTCAAAATGATTTAAAATTCTTTTTTAAATAAGGACAAAGAAGCATTGATTATGATTGCCCCTCAACCTGTCCTTATTTTCAAAGAATATTGGCATATCACAATGGTTTTAAAATAATGCAAGAATACCAGAATTCTGGTGATTTGCCGTTAATTTTATTTCAAGTTCAAAAGTGGCAAAGACCAGATAGAATCATTATACTCATTAGCCCTATTCAATTACTTGAAAATAACTTTATCAATCCTTATTCTTCATTTATTTAACACTATCGTTGTCAAGTCCTAAGTCCTGGATGAGAAAAATGAAGGGTTGCGTTAGGACTTAGGTAGTCGACAGCCAGCTTAAAATTGTTGAATAATCATGCCATGAGTTTTACCTGAGGGGTTATATTTTGCATAAAAAATTTTCCATAATACAAATCAAGTTAACGTAGTCATACCTTACTTCTTCAAAATCCTAGCACATCAATTTTATTTACCCATATGATGGTATCTTTAACATACGATTGCACACGCCTCAAAGGCTCAAACACCTAAATCTATTTTCTGTGCCAAATCTTTAATGGTTGTCACTACTAACCATTTTTCTATTTTAACCATTTCTCAATTTATCTTTCCTAATTTACCACATATCCATCTTAACATTCTCAATTTTATTATATTAAACTTCTTTATCGATGGCTTTCATCACCAAGACCCATATTCATACAGAATAACTAATCTAATTTTAATTTTATAAATTTACATTTTAAGACTCCTAGAAATTCACTAAACACACAGTAGTGCTTGAACTAAATTCTAAGTTGAAAGATTTTGTTATCACATAGCATTCTTGGAGAAATTCTACAATTTAACAACCCATAATTTATGAATTTATATCTTCATCTATTCTTAATCTAATAGATCCCATGTACTTAAAAATCTTACATTTAAGTATCAATTCATCTTCCAACAATATTTGTTACTCATTATAAATTCCATTACCAGTAAACTTACACATAAAATAATCGATCTTCATTCTACTAATGCTAAGACATTATCTCCTAAACTTTTATTTATTGTTCTAACTTTTCCACCTAATTTGACTAAGTTCTTAGCTAAAAGAACTATCATGTGCTAATAGCAGACATCCTTAGCAGACATCAAGATGCCTCAATTTGATCATCTTTTATAAGCATCTTCATAACAAATGAAGAAATATATGAATTTACTGTAGAGGTCAACTAATAGAATCATGGCATCTACAAATAACACACACTAAGATACGTGGCTTTAAATATCTTTTGTAAGAATCTCCATAACCATGCTTAACTTGATTGACAATATCCATATCTATACAACATAGCCTATCTAATTGCAATTTTCTAAAATATATTCATTCATGTCTATGTGAAATATGATATTACTAAAGATTTTTTTCAATTTAACTGCACAACTTTAACTCTAGAATTTATAGCCTAGTTTTTTCTTTACATTTCTTATAATAGATTTAAGATATTTGAACATATCACAATTAGGTTTCATTTGACAATATTGTTTGATCATTATAAACTTCATTGGCACTAAAATTACACATATTGGATCTTCATTTTACTAATATATCTTTAAAAAAATTTCTTTACAATTTAAACTCTTTACTTATTTCATAGAGGTTCAAGCTAGTAGAACCATGCCATCTGCAAATAATACACATCAAGTAACCACTTTGAATACTATTTCGAAGCAATTCCATAACTGATATTAAAAGATATAGATTTAATGTTGATCCTAAATATAATCCTTATATTTGGAAACTATAAAGCAATCCAAAACCATTTCTAATGGTAATCAATGCTCCATCATACATATATTTAATACTTTAGCAAACCTTTGATGCACACCTTTTCAACTCAATGCACATCAGATAAAAAATGATGGTATTCAGTCTTATGATTTCCCAAGAGTTAAGATAAATGAAAATCATATAAAAGATTTTTTTTGTTTATTATATTTATTCATTAATTGCATTAGGATAAAAATTACCTCCGTAATTGATCGATATGACAAAAAAGCAAACTGATTCTCAAATATTAATGAAAAATTCGTTAAGTCAATGTTCCATTAACATCTTCAATTACTTAAGTGTATGACTCATAAAATTGATTCTCCTCATCATGATCCTAAAGATCTCCTTTGTTATAGAATATTGATGCCAAAATATTTCTCCAATCAAACAACATCATCTTAATCTTAAATATTGCATTAAAAATATTTGTTAAGCAATATATCAATCTAAATCTCAATAAAGATAACACCAAAACCTAAAAATTTATTTCTATGCATCTTCTTAAGAACTACCTACAAATTTTAAATTAATCTATATTATATTTCATGAATATGTTCACATAATAAAAATTTTATCCACCTCAACAATTTTATACTTTAAAGTCCTGTTTATTCAACCCTATCCATTCCTACTTTTTATCCTCTCGATATAGAGCAATCTTTAGCCTTAATGTCATCTTTTTTTTTTTTTCATTTTTCTTTGAGTTTCAGGAAAACATGTAACATTTAATGCTTTTAATGATGTGTCCACAAATATGAAGCATTCTTATTTATGGTTTACACATTAGACCTAGTCGACCCTACCTCATATTTTACCATAATTCAGTGTGGGGTGTCACTTCCAAATGATGTCATATCCAACACCAGGCTATTTCTCACCAAGATCATGACATTAATAACAAGTCGCATCTTAAACCCTTTCCTCCTGGCCATTATTTAATTAGGTCATGGCATGAGGCTTCAAGGGAATCCCTATCTCTAACAAACATCAAATTTGGATTCACTTCAAATATTTTAGGTTAAGTTTATAACTGGTTATCAATCTAACATCAATCATCAATTTTTCTTACATGGGTTTCAGACTACAAATGACTATTTTACCAAGACCAAAAAGAATGGTACATGCCAAAATGCATATCTTGAGCAAGCATCTACTCGATGCGCTCCAAGTGATTACAAAATTCAAGATCCTCAATGAACCAATCAAGGTAAGTAATAAAAGATATATGGTGTACAGGCATCTCATGTCATATGATTAGTCAACGCATTGATTGAAAAGCATATTCATTGCCGAGTCAAAATAGTAAAAACAAGCAATGTCAAACAAAGTTGTTAAATAAGTAATATCGTCAAAAAAATCACCATTTCAAAGAAAGCAAGTGATGGACTAGTTGTTCAACCCAGCCCCAGCAAGGGGGGTCGATCAAGCTTGCAGGAAAAAGGGCCCTGTGGCCTCACTACTGTGGGAGGCGGCCAAAGAGAGAAGGGGGCACAAAGGGGATTAATTCTACATTTAATTACTCACCATAGAAAATCAAAATTGGGAGGGAATTAAGAAAGCTTATTTAGAGAAAAAAGAGGTAATTTGAATTCAATTTTGTAAGGGAATTAGGTAGGTTTGTTTAGGAAAATAATGTTGATTTGAATTAGGATTTGGGAGTGAATTAGGAAGGTTTATTTAGAAAAGGATGGCTGATATGAATTTAGATTTTGGAGAGAATTAGGATTGCTTATTTAGGATTAATTGTGTTGTTTTATTTTCATTATTTGATTTGTGTTTTTACTGTAGTTCTCTTTGGAGTTGTTCTTAGCAGCCCCTAGGGTTTGGGAGAGGCGATCTACCTCTCAAATAGTAGATCAACTTGTATCTTGGTTTGTTGTGTTGATATAAAAATCAATTAACTCATAATCTCATTATTTCTAGCTGATTTTTGTTATGTTTCTCTTCTTTATTAATGTTTTTGTTGTGTGGAGATCGGATTCCTATCAATTTGAGCACCTTTTTTAGGACCCATGGCGGCTAAGAAGGTTGATACATTGGAGGACATGCTTGATGGGGAAGTTAAAAATCTGAAATCTGAATTCGAAGAACAATTTTAAGCAAATGAGGGCCAATTTTTGAATCTAGAAGAGATGATGAAAAGGATGTTAGAGTCTCAAGTAGGGCTGTCAAAATCGGGTCACGGGTCGGGTTCAGGTCCAACCTGAAACTGACATAACACTGTTCGACCTGACCCGAACCCGACCCGTTTTTGCAAACGGGTCGTTTTTCTGACCCGAACACGACCCGCTTAGGGTATGTTTTACTAAAAAAAAAATTATTTAATTCGATTTATTTAAACCTAAATCAAATTAAGGTAAGATTTACTTCAATTAATTTAAAATAAATCAAACTTAGTTTAACTTGTGTAACATTGTTTATTATTTTTTGGAAATAACATTTACTTGTTTCATAAAAATCTTTTAAAACCCTCCTAAATTAATTTAAAATGTGTCAAATCGGGTTGATATCAAGTTTCTGAGTCAACCTAAACCCGACCCGATTTTATAAATGGGTCAAAATCCCTAACCCAAACTCGACCCGATTCAGGTTCGAGTTGACCTGAATCCGAAATTTTTGGGTCGGGTTCGGGTCGGTTTTTTGGGTCGGTCAAATATTAACACCCCTAGTCTCAAGCCAATACAACATCTTCATAGACAAGGACAATAAGGGAGGATCGAGAGATGAAAATTTTGGAGGAAGAAGAAGATATGCCACCTTTGGAGCTACTTATAAAATCGGATTCCTATCAACAATGTCATAGAATTTAGCTTAAAAACACATGGCATTATTAACATCATCAACATCCGTATACCAACTATTTTAGGACGATTTTATAAATCACCATTCCATCCATTCTTGTTGAGTTTTCCATGAGGTGCTAAATCTACAATGCCTACATCTTTTTTACAGGACTTAATTAATGCTATTATTGACCTTAATACCTGCTCTACAACAAAACATGATCAAATACAACAATAATGAAAAAAAGTGAAGGGAAATAATGCATCGTCTAGCAAGATCGACTTGAAATGTGTCACATACATTGAAAGTCTTGAAACGTTGCTCATTTTGAAAAACAAACAACGACAATGTGTCTGAAACATTGAAAATGGCACAAACTGAAACACATATTGGCTAGGTCATTGTACAAAGAAAATACCAAAATTTCACATGTGTGTGAGGCTACATTGATTTTGCAAAATCAATGTACACGATCACCTAAATTTTGCAAGAAAAAATTTAAAAAGAATACTTTCTATTTTTATTTTTAAAAAATCCCCACGCCACAACAACAACATCAAGTCTTTATCCCACTACGTGGGGTCGGCTACATGAATCCTTTTTCTCCATTGTGTCCTATTAAAAGTCAAATTCTCGTTTGAATCTAATAAAGAAATGTCATTCCTAATATTTTCTAGCCATGTCTTTTTAGGTCTACCCCTACCTTTCTTAACACAAGTCAAATCTAATACCTCTACTCTCCTAACCGGGTCATCGGAAGGCCGCCTTTTTATGTGACCAAACCATCTAAGGCGACTCTCTCTAATCTTATCTTCTACTGGAGCTACTCCAACCTTTTCACGAATATTCTCATTTCGTATCCTATCTCTAAGGGTAAAGCCACTCATCCACCTAAGCATCCTCATCTCTGCCACACTTAACTTAGTATTATGCTTCTCTTTTAATGGCCAACATTCGGCACCATAAAGCATTGCAGGCCTCACTACCATCTTATAGAATTTTCCCTTAAGTTTGAGGGGTACATTTCTATCACATAACAAGCCCGATGCATTCCGCCACTTCAACCATCCAACTTGAATTATGCTGATAATATCCCCATCTATTTCACCATCACTCTGAACAATAGATCCAAGATATCTAAAATGTGTACTCTTATTAATGACTTGATCGCCCAAAGTCACAATCCCTTCACTAGGACTATTACTACTAAAATTACACTCCATATATTCCATTTTAGATCTACTCAAGCGAAAACCTTTAGACTCTAAGGTTTACCTCCATAATTCAAGTTTACCTTCAACTCCCTCTCTAGTCTTATCAACAAGAAGAATATCATCAGCAAAAAGCATACACCAAGGTACATCATCTTGCAAATGTCTAGTGAGAACATCCATGACTAAAGCAAAAAGATATGGTCTTAAGGCTGATCCTCACGCCCAAATCCCAAAAATCTAATGTATCCTATTGTAAATTTGGTCCCACACTGCATTAAGTCCAATCTCTCATCTCATCCATATAGTGTCAACTTTATCAATGTCGTGTATCCTATCAACTGTATCAACACCATGTAGAGTCACAAACTGACATTAAAAAAAATTCCTTTTTTATTCATAACTCTACTGACATAACCATGCCACTCTCCCCTCGTCATATCTCATCTCTCTCTCTTTCCCTCACTTGACCACGCAAGACCCTAACCACCCCTCATTCCTAAATCCCTTTGTCTCTCTCTTACACGAGGCAACCCCATCTCGACCTCATCGAACCCGAATAAGCCATTATCACTCGCTCCATCTCTCTCTCATGCAACACACGTCGGCCCTCTCCCTCAATCCTTGCCCTTCCCTTCCTCTCTTACCTCTCGCAACAACTCCAATATCTCTCTCTTTCTATATAAATATAGATATAAGCAACAACCACACTCATAACACAATCGACCACCTCCACTGTCTCTCTCTTTTTATAAATAAATATAAATGTAATAATAAAATGAATGTATAAAAAAAGGAAAAAGAAAAAAAGGAATAAATGTGCATTCGCTTTGCAAATTCCTCATCTCATTGCGTTATCATCGCCCTCTCACATTGGTATAAAATGCAATATCTCAAAACTCTCAAAATCCCGATTGCAATGAATGACGAGCCTTACTAATGCCCGCTTTTATTTGCATATTAAGGGAAATTCAAAGGCAGCGCTTGTGACAGAGTGGGTAAGTCCTATGCACGCTTTTTTAAGTGAGATGGGGAAAAATACATATGTTGCAAATCTCACGTGCAGGTACCTCTTGTGTGCCTTGTTAGGCATCGTGGGTTTTGAAAACCATAGCCACAATGTCTTAAGACACTAACCATGCATGATTTTCATGGTATTGTGCTCAGGCCTAATACTCATAGTAGATGCCCCCTATAACTACTTGCAAAGAGCACAGTCAAAGAGCCAATGCTATATCAAGTGTATCACCATGATCACTCTCACAAGATCTCACTTTAATAAGTATGTGTCATATGTCATCTAATCAAGTATTCTAGTACCAGTAAATAATAGTTATGATTAGGGTGTCTGGTCGGGTTATTTCACCGTAAAATTGCACAATTAAATTACAAACTTATAGTCATGGCCAAAGCTCGAAGATTATTCAATAGCTCAAACCTTTGATTGTGAATTACGATGTGCATTTAATTGGGAATAAAGACTTGTGTTAGCTAAGATCAACTTAATATTCTCCTAAACAAGTATTCACCCCAAGTCTATAAGGTCCCCTTAGAAAATGCAACCCATAGTTCTTGACAATAATCATTCAATCAAGTTGAGTCAACTACTTTCGCTAAGTATATCAGGTTTAAAGATAACCAGGAATAATGGAACCACATGATCATAATTGGATTCATCACTCCCCTCACTATCCGCTCTAAGCAAACAGTAGTATTTTCCTACTTTAAAATTAAAATCATTGCCACAATACCTGAAGCACTTAGTGCTTATCAATTAATTTTAATCGAAAGTTCTCAGTCGTCATCGGGAGAGGAGTCGCACGAAGCACCAATGGAAGACATAAAGCCATATCATAAATTTCTCAAAAAATCAGTGGAATATCTTATTAATGTATGATTTGCAATGCAATCCACCTTATGAAAATTTTACTTGGAACCACAAATTTTCTCAAAAGAGCCATGCACAAATTTTTTAAGCTAGTAGTAATTATTAGTTACTCATTTCCCTTTCATGTTCCTCTTATACTAATTGCATCTTCCTTCCTTATTGGTGGATTTTACATCTATCCTGTTATTATATTTTTGCCCTTCATTTCATATCCAAACCACCATCTTATCTTCAATGATTCATTCCTCCATCTATCATTTTTAGTTTTATCACACATCCATCTTCTCATTATCTCAACTGAATTAATCCACAAAATAAAAAATAAATAAATACCACCCTCCGGGATGTTACTTGTACAAACCTAACACTCATTTAGTAAATTACTCTTCATTTTAGGAAGATTCCACCTGCTTAAGCATATTCAACAGTTCAACCTGATTCAACTTAATTTCCAACGATTTAATCTCTCAGGCGCATTTCTATAAGCAGTATAAATGTAAAAGACTAAGTGAAATCTAGGGTTCTCAAAGGATCCTAACCCTGTTGTCACACAAAGAATCGTAGCAGCCAGGATCTTTAAAAGAAGATCCCTGTGATATCAATATAGCATTCAGTGAAAAAATAAAAGGAAGTATTTCTCTTGCGCAAATGAATTTCAGAGAAATTTTAAGAGAAACAGCAGTTAATAGAACCTAGGAACCATTAGAAGTGAATGGGTGGAAAGAAAGATTAGATCTTTACCGCCGCCTGTTTAGAGCGGAGAACTTCGAGCGACCGACGAGCTAAAATTCCCGCCATCGACGGAGATGAGTCGAGAGACTGCTTGATTACAGGAAGAAAGGCTATAGTGCGAAGGATCGAAGAGAAGCTGTAAATCGGATGCTCGCGTTGGAATGGCGGTGGGCCTTCACCGTGTCCATTTCATCTTAGGTGGCTGAGCCGTCCGATTAAATTTCATCACAGGTGGTTCACCGCCGATTGAACTTGAATGAACTTCCCAAACCCCCACTCCTAACCCTATAATGTATATTAGGGAAATTTACATACATATCATTCTATACAATTCTATTTACATATTTAACACCTAAAACTTTAATATTATATACATACCACCCATAATTCATTTTTAAATCAAGTATTAGAGAAATTTACATACATACCACTCTTTATATTATGCATGTTAGTGTATTGCATCCCCATATAATATCATATAGGAGTGTACTCCATCTCTCAACACGAATATAAAAGTTTTTCTACATAAATTATTTTAATTGCACTCTTCACATCATTCTATATCTTTATATAATATAAGCATTATATGACTATAATAAATAACTGAAACATGCTAGTAAATTCATGTCATTCATTTCAACTTGACCAATTATTTATAATAGAGATTGTTGTGTCATGGAGTATTCGCGGCGATAGAGAAATATAAAGTTTAATGTCTTAGTATTGTATGAAGATCCAGCACACACACAGATAAAAAGAGATGGTGCGTCATTCACAAGAGACACCAAGATTTTTACGTGGAAAACTCCTGAAAAACGGGAAAAAAACCACAAGGCCTAGCCCAATTTGCATGAATCCACTAGTATTGCATTTGATTACAAATGAGGCTCTTCCTTGGATGAATGTCTTAGCTTGATGTACATCTTATAGAGTACAATACATGATGAGAATACAAAGAAACACTACTGATGTGTTTGTTTGGTTTGAAGGACTGTAGTCGATGGGAGACGTAAGTCGAAAGGACCGTAGTCGGCTGAAGGATCGTAGTCGGCGGGCGACGGAGGTCGGAAGGACTGTAGTTTGTGGGTGACGTAAGTTAGAAGGACCATAGTCGGTGGGCGACATAAGTCAGAAGGATTGTAGTCGGCGGGCGATGGAGGTCTGAAGGATTGTAGTCGGTGGGCGACATAAGTCAGAAGGACCATAGTCAGTGGGCGACGTAAGTTAGAAGGACCGTAGTCGGTGGGCGACGTAAGTCAAAAGGATCGTAGTTGGTGGGCGACGTAAGTCAGAAGGACCGTAGTCGGCGGGCGATGGAGGTCAGAAGGATTGTAGTCGGTGGGCGACATAAGTTAGAAGGACCGTAGTCGGCGGGCTACGGAGGTCGGAAGGACTATGTCAGGTAGAAGTTCAATAATGGGCAGAAATCCATCATCAGATAGATGTCAGGAAAATGTTCGACAATGGGCAGAAGTCTGGCGTCATGTAAAAATTTGGCGATGAGCGAAGATCCGGTGTCGGGTAGAAGTCTGACGTTAGTCGTCGGATGAGGAGATTTTCGACGTTAGATGATATTCGGGCAAAACTTCATAATCACTTGGAGAACAGGCAGAGTTTAGGCGCCGCTTGGAAGTCGGGCAGAACTCCGACGTTACTTGGAAGTTTGACAGAATTCCGACATCACTTGGAAGTCGGGCAGAATTTCGACGTCACTTGGAAGTCGGGCAGAATTCTGACATCACTGGAAAGTCTGGCAGAATTCCGGCGTCACTTGGAAGTCGGACAGAATTCCGGCGTCACTTGGAAGTTGGGCAGAATTCCGATGTCACTTGGAAGTCGGGCAAAATCCCAGCGGTGGTCGAGGAGTTTCTTCCCTCCTACACTTATCTTCTTTCTCCTTGCTTGGGTCCCCTCTCAAGAGATGAGGGGTCTATTTATAGATTTTTGGAGTACCATGGCTCGTAAATAGATGAGAGATCAGGGGCAAATGTGGAGTAGTTCAGATGGACGACCGATATTGAATCCTTTGATCATGGATCGTTTGTCAGACATTTGAAGATCTTAATGATGTCGAAATTTGGCTATCTTGGGCTCGTTGGATTCGTCTCGTCGAGTCGCTCGATTCAACCATAAGCACGTCATATTTGAAAACCGTTTGGTAACTCAAATTGTGGTTTCAACTTTCCAATAGCGCTTCGGGTGCTTGATTTGGACTCATTTGGGCTCAGATTGACTTTAATTTGGTGTTGTTAGTTTGTATTTATGAGACGCTCAGTTTGACTATAAGTTCGCTGAAATCAGAGTTCAGGTGATCCCGAATTTAATTTTTGAAATTTCCGGCTTTATTTTACCTCGAGATTCGTGACGAGTCAAGATAATTTTTTTATGACATATCAGAGATAAATCATAAATAAATTTGTACTAATAATATGTTGAATAAGTATCAATAATCCTTATGCATCATATTTTTTTAATAAGTTGAAGAAGTTAAATCGTTATTGATAAATCACCAAAAGTGTCATTGATTGAGCATGAATCTTGAGGTGTATCAAGTTAAAAACTTACCAAAGTAAATTTGGGACCATCCAAACTCCAATTTGAGCAAACTTATAAACAAACTAAATGATTGAAGAAAACAAGCCCAACGGCACTAAACTAGTCCAATTCGGGCCCGAATAGGCCAAAATCAAAGGACCAAAGCAGATTTTAAAGCTTTGAAGCATTAATTGAATAACCAAATTATATCTAATCATGGCATTTTTATAGTCAAATCGAGTAGCTCAACGAGAAGAATCCAACAAGCCCAAAATCTCTTAATTCTAACATCATTACAACATTTAAATGCTTGACAAATTCTTCATGATTGAGGGAAGCAGTATAGGTCATCCAATTGAGCACTCTAAATTTTGTTCTTGATCTTCTTCAAATTTACAGGGCATGTCACTCTCAAAATCTATAAATAGATATCTTCTTCCTACATGAAGGGGGGAGAGACTTTTGGAGAAGGCTTGAAATGGGCTACATATTCATGAGAGTTATGACGCTTGAAGAATCCCAGAGCTCCACCTCAGCACTTTCGCCGACGAACCTTCACAACTTAACCACCTTCATCAATAATGATTCTTTCAATTCCCACCACGTAATGTACTCTATATATGTATAATTGCGACATCAAACCATGGTCTTCCCTCAAGGAAGGACCTCATTTATAATTGACTGCAAATACTAGTGGATTCATTCAAACTGGGAGAAGCCATGCGATTTTTCCACCTTTTAAGGATTTTCACAAAAAAACTCTAATGTCTCATATAAGTGTCACACCTTTTCTTTTATCTGATTGTGTGTTTGATCTACGTGCAAAGCTAAGACGTTAAACATTATTTTTCTCTATCGCCATGAATATTCCAAGACACAACAATCAAAATGCTTAAATTAACTTTTCATTTTTATTTTAAATATTCATAACATTTAAATATTATTTATTTTGCATTTTTAGATTTCTTTTAAACTGTAAACTATTTATGTATTTATATTTAATTATTTTTTATATAAAATAAAAACTCTTAATTTAAGAATACTCTAGGTTGAACATAAAAATTGGTCCATTTGTGCTGGCTCTCATCCGGGATTTCATAGTTTAGACTTAGGCTTTATTTGAGACAATTTTCTTATTGCTTTATGATGCAATTTTTTAGTATACTTTTTTTTTAATTAAAAATTATATATTATGAAGCTGCTTCGTAAAACAATAAGAAAAGTATAAAACTATTCCAAACAAATATGCGTTGACTTTCTTGCACACCAAAAGTGCTTTGAGTGAAAACAAGTTATTGATTTTGGTTAAATAATCCTGATGATTCAAGTAATCTTGGGAAGCACTCACAAAACAAATTTATCATTACCTATAAGGTGTGTGATGTAGTACAAGAGGTGTTAGAGTTACTTAAATTTATGATTTTCAAAGGAACTGAGTTCTCACATATTATTTAATATTTTTTTCCAAGTTCACTAAATAATATATGAGTTCTACATAACCTATAAGACCTAACAAACTTATCTTCATACATAATAATATCAACACATATATAGGCCACTTCTTAAAGCATTTTCTCTTTATTTTGTTGTATGATTAGGTTGACGTTTTGTGGTATTATTAAAGAGTTCAACTAATATTATTGATACGTCCTCAAAAAATTATCTTGATTGGGCACGAATATCGATGCAAAATCAAGTTGGAAACTTCCGTAATAAAAATTGAGGCCATCAAAACTCTGATTTAAGCAAACTTACAGTCGAACTAAACATTTCAGAAATACAAACCCAACGACACCAATTTCGACGCAATCCGAACCCAAATGGGTCCAAATCAAGGACCTGAAGCGCTGTTGGAAGGTTTGAACCACAATTTGGGTTACCAAATGGTTTCCAAACATGACATTCTTATAGTCGAATCGAGCGACTCGACGAGACGAATCCAACGAGCCCAAGATCGTCAAATTCCGACATCTTTAAGACCTTGAATTGTCTAAGAAAGGTCCACTATCAAGGGATTCAATATCGGCCGTCCATCTAACCACTACCAATTTACTCTTGATCTCTCACCTATTTATGGGCCATGCCACTCCATAAATCTATAAATAGACCCCTCATTTCTCTTGAGGGGGGATTGAAGTAAGAAGAGAAGAATGAAAAAGAGAAGGAAGAAGCTCTTCCTCGACCACCGCCGGACTTCCACCGAACTGCCACTTGAGGCCACTCACCTCCGCCGGACCACCGACTGATGTCATTGCTCCGCCGGACCACCACTTGAGGCCCTCACCTCTGTCGGACCACCGCCCGATGTTGTTGCTCCGCCAAACCGTCACTTGAGGCCCTCACCTCTGCCGGACCACCTCTTGAAGTCATTGCTCTGCCGGACCACCACTTGTGGCCCTCACCTTCGCCGGACTACTGCCTGATGTCGTTGCTCCGTCGAACCATCACTTGAGGCCCTCACCTCTGCTGGACCACCGCCTGAAGTCGTTGCTCTACTAAACCACCACTTAAGGCCCGGACTTCCACCGGACCACCACTTGAGGCCCTCACCTCCGCCGGACCACCACATGACGTCGTTGCTTCGTCGAACCACCACTTCAGGCCCTCACATCCGCCGGACCACCTCCTGACGCTGTTGCTCCCCCGGATCACAACTTGAGGCCTGAACTT